TTTACTTGGTACGTTTTATACACATTAAACAAAATTATGTTTAATTTGATACAATGTAGGTGAGTCCAAGCCAAACTATTGAGTGGGTTAAGAATCCTACACCTCTTAGTGCGGGTGTTCGCGCAGAATGCCCTCAGATCGAAGATTTAGGCTGCAGTAAGCAAACTTGTCAACTTGCAAAAGGTGAAGAAATGAGATACATGACACTTTGTGGAGAGTGTCCAGACGTGTACCCTTGGTTAGGTAATCCACTGGGTGAAGCTGAAGTGTAAATTTATTGAAATCTTGTTAGCAAAAAAAAAACAAATTATAACTATTTAAAGAAATAAATATATTGTATAAAATAAAACACAATGAAGCCCCATTTTTTATTTTGTTTAAAAACAACTTCACTTATTCAGGTGTACTTTTTTTCTAAAATTTTGAAATTTAAATACAATTCTTATACTTCAACGAGTTGTACAATATTTCCCTTGCCTGTGATGTACCATTAAAACGATTCTAAGCAAACCAGCTCTACTTGGCAAAATATTGACAGACATCACATTTTTGTCCAAATGAACAGACAAATATTAATCAGCGCTTTATCGTCTAGACAATAATCTCAAGTATATGTCTAATATAATCACCAACAGGTAGATGACAAACTAAAATAGACAAATAGATAGAAGACATGCAGGGAGAAGTTGATATTTTATATTCTACAAACTATGAAACATTGAGGATAAAGAAAACTAGACATTAGTAAAGTAACCCTATTATATATAGTTTCTTAGCTCAGCAAATTAATGAGGACGACATCTGGTGAGTGGCGAGTATCCCAGAAACTGAAGATATGTCCATCAGTTGCCCAAAATACACGAGTAGAATCTGTTGTTAGTATCAAGAAATGATAGTCGACTTGGAAGATATTAATAAAAGTTACAAAACTGGTAATAGTTACTGGTCTTGATAAAAGCAACCTCTAAACAGAAGAGAACGCCTTTTGCTAAATATTATGCAACGAGGACTTTAAGATTAATAGATTTTTGCATGCAAAATAGGTTAGCTATATAAAATTGGTTTCATTAATATAAAAACTGTATATCACAATCGAACGAAGCTACACATAAACTGCAAAAACAGAAGTAAGGGAAAAGTGTGTTTTAGCAGAAGAAGAGGAACTATGGTAGAGACGAAATGAGTTACAAGAAGCAGAGCTAGAAGAACAAGGACAAATATTTAAAACAAGCGTAATACTTAAAAACTCCCGACAAAAAAATTAGCCTTTAAAAATTGAATAGAAAACATTAACTGAAATGCCTTTAGCTTCGGTTAACTCACACACCCTCATTAATATCTCTGCCAAACCCTATTATAAATTTTCGATGATGGTATGACGGCAGTTTTTGATCCAAAAGAACATGGTGCGTTTTTAACATATGGCTTTATAAGAAGAATATGAATCTCCCAATTTCGGAAAAATCTTTTCATGGAGTTCTTTTCAATTTTGAGGTGACGTCACATTATTGGTGGAATGGTGGGGATGATTAGATAAAGAATTAGACAAAGTTTGGTTAGTGTTTTACCATCTTCATAATATTCATAAATAATACACATATAAGATTTGACAATAATCGGTCCAATAGTTTCGGAGATTATCTGTCTAACGTCACGGACGGCAAACAGACAAACAGACGGAAACGGGAGCCTCATTTTTTCGTACTTGAGAATTCATGATCTATCAAGAAAATACGAAACTAACCAGTCCCAGTTCAAGCTGCTTTTTAGTAAACTTACGTAATTTAACCGAGTGAATTAGATCAAATTAAATCATCTTGTTAGGAGATTCAGGTTTTATGTTATTACTTCTTGGCTGGTAACACATGATAGAAATTCAAAAAGCCCTGTGGAAGAATTTTTACCAAAGTACACAAGAGAAATAGAATCGTCGTTAAAAGATGTTTAAGAAAATTAGAAAAACGTTTTCTAATTTTAAAGAATGTTGTCAAAGTTCGTTTAGACAGGATGCCAAACATAACAGTTTCATGTTTTTTGTTTTGCATGTCTCCAAATTGAGGCGCTGGGCGGAATAATCACCCAACCTGTGAAACAAAAGCGTTGCGAATTACAAGTTTAGTGACTAAATAAAATAAAAAGAAAACTTTATACGAAATTGAATTTTATTGTTAGGAATACTTAGAAATTAAGGTATGGCAATGTAATTTTGTTAGTATGTTTTATATATAATCGTTACTAAACTTTGCTCCATACCCTAGAGGTAAGAGTACATCGTTTGCCAAAATCAGTCTTATCTTAACAAGTACTAGCCCCGCCCACCCGCCCTGTATTTTTTTAAAGAGTACATATATCATTTGCCAAAATCAGTCGTATCTTAGGATGTACTATTGTGTTCATATTTTATATAGGTTTGGTTAAAATTATTAAAATTGTACTTAAAACCGTATCTAAAATGTTTGAAACCTTAATAGTTGTGTTTGTATTACCTATAAAAATAAATAATGGGTATACCGAATAACGACCTAAAGTAAAGTAATATTTTATTTTTTTATTTAACGGCTACTGTTAAATATAAAACTTTGATTATTTGAAAATATTGTTAATTTTTTCGCTCACAATGTCCACATAAAATAACATTGATAAGTTACATATAAAAGAAATTAAACAGTTTTTTGTGTTTATTGAAAAATAAGCTATTTTCAGTAGGTGGTTATTCGATCCATTGCCTCAATTTTTAAATGATAAAAATTATTTTTCGAACATTTTACTTGAAGAAGACAACGACAATAAAACTCCAGGCATACAACGTAGGTATGAATTTATTTTTTATTAAGCTTTTCTATATGTTTATTGTTGTTGCTGAGTATTGTTGAGTCTTTGTCATTTCGTCATTTGTTGATAAAAGGTTTGTTTCGTCCGTTTTCGGTAAAGATTCAGCTGACTTTTTGTTTTTTTGGTGGCGGTGGTCGAGGCGGTTGTGGTACAACATTTATCTTCTTCAATGATGAATACTGCACATGATAATGATACTATAATAGCTTATATTAGTATATAGTCACATTATTAATACAAAAAACTTGGAATTCTGTGTAATTTGGAAAACTTTTTTTGTTTCTTATATTTGTCGGTTGTGATTGTTTAACAAAAAGAATCATTTTTTTAACAGAGTGTTATCAATTTTTACTTCCCGAGCGTAAGCAAAGGAAGTATTGTAATCGAGTCCGTCGGCCGACCCTCTACTTTTACATTTTCTCGACCTTTCATTATCCCTAGAGGACGAAGAAATAGGTCTCCCGTTTCCGTCTGTGTGTCCGTCTGTCTGCCGTGCCGGATTTTTGTTAGAGAGATAATCTCAGAAAGTACTGGGCCGATTGTTGTGAATGTTTAATTTGGAATCTGCAAAACCGAATGCTTTGAAATCTTGCAGATGGTTTACAGTTATGATAATCGTGATTAATTTTTAATCAAAATATATTTACTCATCCGCTCCAAAAAATTGAATACGTCAGGATTTGTGGCACTGTACTTAGGAGGCGAGGGAAGTCCTGTCGGAATAACTTTCGACGAATTTTTCTTACTTATTCTGTTCCAAAGAATCAAGAACCTCAAACTCTTCTTGATGACAGAATAATTCATTGTATGGAATACAATACGTATTTAGTTGTCCGATTTATAGCAATGTAGTTTTATAAAAATTCAAGTATTTACTGGAAAACCAGAAGTATTTACTTGGTACTAAAATTTCAGTAAGTACTTCTACTTTTAATATTTACTGATAAGTATTTGCTTTTGCTTACAGCTTTTACTTTTTAGTTAACACTTAATTTTATGCATAGCAGCCAATGAAATATTATTAAAGAATAAAAGAAGATCTTAAATCGTCAAAATCATGGTATAAAAGAGATTCATTGCTATATACAATGTTTTCTAAATATAGAGTAAGATCAGGTTTTCAAACCGTTCAGTAATAACAACAGGCTATTCATTTATTTCCAGTAGGTATTCTCACCTTTATATTATATATTAATTTTGCCGTTTATACCAAAATACAGACAAACGTAACATATCAACACTTTCACATTCCCAAATGTGAAATACAGCTCAAACCTAAACAACAACGATTTTCTATACAAATCATGCCCAGGATAGATACATAAAATCACTATTAGATAATTATATTAAAATTTATCAGTTAGTATCTTCAGATATACCTACACAAAAAGCAAACTATTTTTTAGATAAGAAACTATATAAAAGATACAAATGGATTTGTTAAACTTATACTTAGTTTTTGTATTCAGTGTTGTGCATTAACAAAATATTAAGTAAGTATCTATACATAATTTCTGCTTTTAGGCACATATTCCCACGTCTATTCAATTTAATAATCGTCAATATTACCGTGTAATTAAATTTTATATAAAATGTTGTTGATGTGTTGATCATTTGAAGGCAAATATTGTGTTTTAAAAAATGTAGAATTGGTTGTTTACGACTAACGACTTATTCACTACTTCCAAAGTTTTTTTTTGCAAAACTTACTGAAAAATATCTGACAGCACAAATCACAGAAAACATATTCGAACTCACATTTTTCCCAAGTTACTTTTTAAATATTTTGGGTGTACTAGTATATGGCTACTAGTAAAGTTAATTTTTAACAAATGCATTAATTATAATTAGTTTACGTTATTCTCACAGTTTTCTTTAAATTATCTTAAACAAATATCACTGGCATCAATCTAGCATTGTTTCAATTTGTTAAATCGATTAATTTGATATTTATCACGGAAAAAAATGCGTAATGTGCAACTCAATGCAATCAGGTAGACACTATAGATAAGACAATCACTGCAACAATCTCGCGTAATGAGTATAACAAAATGTTGTCTGTATGCATCTTCATACAATACTTAAATCATGAAAAATAGAAGATTTACTATTTATTTCTGGATATAATTAAGATTATTCCATAAACTATTGAACCAAACCTAAGAAAACAGATTCCTATTTAATAAAGAGAATGTCTTTTTTAGCATGAAAGTAATACTAATAACAGCTATACTGATTGGTGTTGCTACAGCAGCACCAGATAATTCGCGAGCTGCAGATCCTTGTACTGCAAGCAAATGTACGCCTCCTGACTGTAGATGCCCTTCAACCACACCTCCAGGAGATCTTGAGACGAGCCAAATTCCACAGGTATTCATTTCATAATGCCTAAACACTCTAAAAAATGTTAGAATTTTTCCGACAATCATTAATATATATTTTGTATTTCAGTTTGTATTTTTCACATTTGATGACGCCATACAGATAGCAAATTATGATATTTACACGGACTTGTTCTACAACAAAACTAATCCTGATGGATGTCCCGTTGCAGCGACGTTCTTCATGTCTCATGAATACACGGACTACACAAAAGTTAGTCATTAGATTGATGATAAATATATCTGGTGCTAATACGATTTTTACAGACACATGACTTGTATGTTCACGGTCACGAAATAGCTCTGCATTCCATCACACATGAAGCACTAACCGACTATTGGAAAGAAATTTCTCTAGACGATTTGAGAAAAGAATTTGGAGGCGAAAAAACGTTAATTGCAAAGTTTGCAAATATTCCGGAGGAAGCAATTAAAGGCATGAGATTACCATTTTTGCAACTTTCTGGTAATTAATAATAATATATACATTTTATTGAAAGCACGTTTAATCAAACTCAAATTGCAGGAGACAATAGTTTTGAAGTTGGTAAAGAAATAGGTCTGGTATATGACTGTTCGTGGCCAACCCAAACTTTCAGAAATCCTGGACTTTGGCCCTACACTCTTGATTACAAATCGAATCAAGATTGTTCCATTGGACCTTGTCCAGAAGATTCAATTCCTGGTTTTTGGGTTGTTCCAATGATAGACTGGACTGACCAAGGAAATAATGTTTGTAGTATGGTAGACGCTTGCGTAAATATGTAAGTAATCTTGTGTTAGCTATAATCTTAAAACATACTCCTATATGAACATACAGTCCTGAAGACGATGCAGATGCTTTATCACAATGGTTTATTGACAACTTTAATATACAGTATAATGGCAACAGAGCTCCATTTGGATTCTATGTCCACGCTGCATATTTCAACGTAAATCCTCTCCGTTTAGACGCTTACAAGAAATTTGTAGATTACCTGCAAGGCTTAGATGACGTCTTTTTGGTAAGAAAAAGCTACAAATGTTTGAATTTCCGTCACAATATGTTGCCGTCCTTAGGTAACCCCAAATCAAGCCATTCAGTGGATTCAGAATCCAGTTGCTATTGGTGCAGCTGGTTGGCCGGAGTGTCCAACTGTAGAAGACGCGGGTTGTACACCCTTAACATGTGCACTCGAAAAGGTTGATGAAGAAAATCCTATATACATGACATTTTGCGGATCTGAGTGTCCTGCAGCTTATCCTTGGTTGGATAATCCTACGGGTGAATGATTCTAAATTACAAAATGTATGTGTTTTTCACCTTAAGAATTGAATTTAAAAACTGTAAAATAAATTCTGGTGATTTTTATCATTACCAACACGTACCCCACTTCCAGTTACTAACAGAAAGAGAAATATTACAACTTCTACTCTTTCTCTTTTGTAGAAAAAAAATATTTTGTAATAGTTGTTAAATGACCTTCTTTGAAAAACAAACGATATTCATTTTATCAGTGTTATCGATTAGATGATACTTGAACACAGAATGTTGCCTGATTATAATAAAAGATTTGAAAATTTACAAAGAAGAAGACAAAAAATTATTTTTCGGAACACTTAAGCAGCTAAAAAAAGAATGGAATATTATATAAATATGATCAACATAAAAGATAGTGTTGGAAACATAATTAATACTGATGAATAAAAATTGACACGATATGATCTAGAAGAACAGGAAGAGCATGAGGAACAGAATGAATCACAGAAAATCAAAACAATATAACAAAAAAGCACTTGGACGAGATAATAATAAAACTCCTAAAATGATAAAATAAATATATGAGAGAAAAAGGAAGAGAACAATTAAACAAAGGATCGATTATTGCAATAAACACAGGAGTATCATATTAAAAAGGAAAGAACAATAAGAAAAAAAAATAAAACCATTACAGAAGACACTTAATGCACTTTTAAAAGGGGAAGAAATCCACAAGATCTAATAATATTAAACCAGCAAAAAAATTACAAACAAGAAGAATGAGAAATATACTTGTCTTAAATAAAGGGACAATAAAAATGATAAAAGAATTTAAAACAAAAATGGGGGTAAAACAGAGATGTGTGCTAAATCCACTCTTGTACATACTCAATAGTTTTGGACGAAACATAAAGGAAGCCAAGAAAATAATGATAAAACTAAAAATGGGATACTGGCCACTGCAACCTATCTGAATGAACTAATGTCTGCAGATGACATACCCATAATAGCAAAAACACCAGAAGAACTACAAAGTAACTTAAAAATCTTAGAATGAGAAATATCAAATATAAATATAGAGATAAACTTCGCAAGAACCAAAATTAATTACAATTTCAAAGGAAAAGACAACATAAAACTCCAAAAAAGTATTGGAACAACTGCAAAGTTACAAACATTTGGGAACAAAAATACAAAGCAAAAAAAACGCGATCAAGAAATAAATACAAGGGTAAGGTAAATAATAAAAATGTTTAACAAGATGGGAACAACATTCCCTGAAAAAAGGAAACACCCAAACAAATGGAAATAGAAGTAGTAGAAAAAGTAGGTACGTAGTAAAATTTTTCTTGAAATACAGTGTTGTTTATTACATCTTCAAAAAATTACTCAATAAATGTTTATCAAAAAATATGCTTTGAGGTGAGATCCTCCTAGTCTCCTAACATGGTTTGAGTTTTTACGACTGCTTATCAGAAAATATTCAATAATAATTAATGTATGAATCGATTTAAATATTATTCATTTTCTCAGAAACATTTCGTGTAATAAAATTTAGTAATTTCAAAAATGACCCATATAATTTACCTGCCATTCATGAAATAGAACATCATAACAGTATCCGTATTAGATATATATATATATAGAGAAATTTACATATTCTTTATCCTTACAAAATGTGAATAATGAATATTCATAATAGATACTTTCTCCCATGCATGGGGAATTAGTTGGCTTCATGGGCAAGGGTAATTTTATCTAAATAAGTTTGGAAATATTTATTTCTGCTTTTGACGGAAAACCGCAAACTACGTTTCCGAATAAAGAAAATTCTAAAGAAAAATCGTGTAAGTTATATTATAAAAAAAATCGTAATACAGTACCAGTTGCACATAATAAATAAAATTAACAGTTACATAGTAACAATACAAGGTTGAATGCTTGAAATTTACAAAAATTACCAATTTAATCACGAACAAAATTTTTAGCAACAAAACACTTTTCTGCAGTTGAATATTTTTTGACGACTTCCTCAGTTACAGCTTTGCACATCAGTAACTCCTTCACACTATATTCCATTTGGTTTGATTTATGTAAAAACATATCGCTAACTATTAAATGACCACCAACGTAATTTAAAAAAGAACTTGTCTCTAAATCATATTTTGTCAGAACCAAATATAGCGATATGCAAGCCAGAATTGATGGTTTTGATGACGAAAAATCCAACAGCAAAGAAAACACTTCCAACAGAAACATAGCACTATATCGAACTTTCTAAAAACAATACATAAAATCGTACTAAATGCATTGCATTTACCAAAGAACTCACCAAATTGTTCTCTAATTTTTCTCTGTGTAAATAATAGAACAAAAAAGATAATGGCTCTTCAAAATTTGTCTCGAATTTTAATGCTGTCAAGACTTCTTTTTCGGCAGAAAGAAACTGTTGGCGAGTGAATTTTCCACTACACAAAGAAATTAATTTCGGAATCTGGAAAGGTGTTTAGAAAATTATGTGCGTTATAATTATTGATTTATATACACCTGTATAAAATGAACATCAAAATTCTTATTAGCAATCCATAAGCATGTTACTCCCATTAAAGAATATCTGTTGGCAGCAATGTTTGTAGAAAGTATCACGTAGTCAAACATACGTATTCCAGTAAAAAGTGTAGTTTCTGTTAGTCTTAGTACTCGCTGAAAAATATGGTCATCGTAAAAATTAATAAATTTTGCTTTTCTTACTTGCACATTGATTAACCAGTTGACAACAATCATCCTGTACTTAACATCAGACACTTTCTTTAAAAGATCCTTTCGAAGAACAAAAGATTTCTCTCTCTCGAGCATGTATTTATAATTCTCCTACAAAACCCATACATTTCGAATGAACAGTTTAAAAAAATTGAATCTATTACCCCGAAATAGTCATTATCATATAGACAATCTTTGTAAAAATCTTCCTCGGCTAAGAACAGAAACAGATTAATTAGATTTAATTTTTTTGTCTAGAAAATTTGTGTTTCATCACTTACTACAACTTCTATGCCTGCTGTTACGCCTTCTAACAACTGTTATTTTTCGTCGTGGTTTTTCAACTTCCGTGTTTTCACGAGATGGAAGAGTAATTTTTATTTGTACTGGCAATTGTTGCGCAATTTTCATTTCTACCTTTGGCTGCGGCTTAGTAGAAGAATGATCAACATCCTTACTTTCAGGAAAATATTTGAAATAATGATTTTCGCCTTCTACAAACACTTCATCTTCATTGCTAATAATGTCGCCATTACTTTGATGTTCTGTAATGTTTCGTGACTCCAAGTAATAGTTTATTTTTGTTTCTGCAGTACTAGATGACTTCGAGCGCACATAAACTTCACTTTTTTTCACTTTAAGAACTCTGTAAGAGGATTTACGAACCTTAATATTGTTAGAAGCTTGATTTGCCTGGAATTTATTTGGGCAAATTTCTCGTAGTGGATCTCGTGAGCCTGCAGAAGGAGCACCAAATTTTACGTGTACTTTTTTTAATGGTCCATTTTCTTTAATTAATGGGCAGGATTTTGGATTTTCTTTGTCCATCGTTATTGGATAACACTCTTTATAATACCAAATACGACTACGTGGTAACTGGATTTGAGTAGTACAAGAGATATTCGAAACCGTGATAACTTTTTGCGCAACTTTTTATCTGTTGGAAAAACTTGCGACTGTGAACGTATATTTTTCAAGGTTTCAAGGAAAATTATTATATTACTACACGATTCGTTGTGTTAACGAACATTACGAAGCTTCAAGTAAAAAAACATTTTGAATGACATTAATACAAAATTTCCAGTAAAAATCGACATACAAATATTTTTTCTCATACAAACTTTGTCACCCCTTTCCTTTCATCTTCTTAGGGGTGGAATCTCGAAAAAATCTGAAATCCGTGTTTCATCTATTGTATTGAAAAGTATTAATACCAAGTTCCACGTAAAAATTTACAGTAGAAATAGTTTCCCATACAAACTTATGCACCACCTTTTACCCCCTTAAGGGTTGAATCTCGGAAAATGCTTAAATACGTGTTTCATTATTTGTGTTGAAAAGCATTAATACCAAGTTCTACGTAAAAATTTAAATTTGGAATAGAAAATTTTTTCCCACACATAGTTAGCCAGTACTTTTCACCCCCTTAGAGGTTGAATCTCGGAAAATGCTTAAATACCTGTTATATTATTTGTGTTGAAAAGCATTAATACCAAGTTTCACGTGAAAATTTAAATTTACAATAGAAATATTTATCCCACACAAATATAGCCACCACTTTTCGCCTCCTTTGGGGTTGAATTTCGGAAAATGCTTAAATACGTGTTTCATTATTTGTGTTGAAGAGCATTAATACCAAGTTTTAAGTAAAGATCACCATAAAAATATTTTTCTCATACAAACGTAGCCCCACCCCTTTTTGCCCCCTTTAAGGTTGAATCTCCGAAAATGCTTAAATACTTGTTTCATTTTCTGTGTTGCAGACAATTAATACCCAGTTTCACCTAAAAACTTATAGAAATATTTTTCCCATACAAATTTAGCCTCTACATTTCACCCTCTTAGGGGTTGAATTTTAGAAAATGCTTAAATACGGATTTCGTTATTTGTGTTGAAGAACATTAATACCAAGCTTCACGTAAAAATTTCAGTTTATAGTAGAAATTTTGTTCCTATACACACATATTAGCCACCTAAACTTAGACACCACTTTTCACCCCCTTTGGGGTCGAATCTGCGAAAATGCTTAAATACGTGTTTCGTTATTTATGTTGAAGAGCGTTAATACCAGGTTTTAAAGAAACATTATCAGAAAAATATTTTTGCCAATAGACACCCCTTTTCGCCCCCTTTGGCGTTGAATATCGGAAAATGCTTAATACGTGTTTCATTATTTGTATTGAAGATAATAATTAATACCAGGTTTCACGTAACAATGTAAATGTACAGTAGACATATTGGTCCTATACAAATTTTATCACTCCTTTCCATCACCTTTTAGGGGATGAATTTCGAGAAATCCCTTCTTAAACGATGCCTCCAGTATAAAATGAACATTCTCTCCAAATTTCAACTTTCTAGCATTAGCGGTTTGGGATGGGCGTTGATAAGTCAGTCGGCACATTGCCTATTATATGTAAAGATTAATTTTAGAATACTAGGTATATATATATATATATATATATATATATGCAAATCATCATGTTTGGACTCCCAGTATATCTTTATAAATAGTTTTTAATTTTTTGTTACAAAACAATAGAGTTTTTAGAGCTGATTCCATACATACATAAAACTTTATGTTTATTGTTAAAGGTTTTTGAATTATATGCTGTAATGTATATACTCAAATCTTTGGGCTCGTAAAAGGTTTGTTTCCAAGCTTAAATTTGACTCTTTGATGAAAGCTTACCTTTGGGCTCCATATAAAGTTCATATTTAGATATATTAGAAATACTCCCTACATGTATAATAAACTTCAAAACATATATTTATGGTTTCGAAAGCATTATCTACTAACTTCTACATACAAAATGACTTTTCTTATGTATTATATATGTCTTCTAATTTTAGCTGCACAGACGCTGGCTAAATTTTGAAAAAAAAATACAACAGAGCATCAAATTTCCGGAAGAAGACTATTTCGTTTAAAATAACTATTTTCAAATAGTCTATAATAATTGAATGACGATTTTTCTCGAGAAATCCATCTGCAGAGTCAATGTTTAGTTGTTTTGAGAAAAATCTTCTTTGTGGTAACGCCATTTTTTGATACTTAATTCAAATGTTTATGCTTATGAAATAAAAGAAAATTAATATTTGTCACTGATCTAAAATATCCCTCTTTTTGATTTTCACTCGTATTCGATGGTGGAGGGTCTTTTGTAGAATTATCAACGGATCGTAAACATTGCAATTTCAGAAGGGAAATTTAGTTTCGTTTGAACAAAGCAGTCTTTGAATAATCTTTAATAACTAGCTGATGATTTTTCTTATGACAATTATTTGCAAAGTCAATATTTGTTTGTTTTTCCATGTTTTGCAAAAAATTGTATTTCTAATTACGTCATATTTTAAGTACGAATCCAAATGTTTAGGCTCCTCAAGTGTACGAAAGCTTATGTTTGGACTCTCACAATTTCGAAATTATTTATCAGCAATCTTTTGGATGCCCATAGTTGTCAATGAATTAACGTTTTATTTTTTTAGCTTTTTTACATTAATTAGACAGCAGAAGTCCCTTTATGGAAGCTACAGTCGACTTAAGGTTCAAATTTTAGAAAGAAGCCTATTTCGTTCAAAAGAACTATTTTCAAATAATAATGTATAATAATTGAATGACGATTTTTCTCGAGAAACCCATCTGCAAAGTCAATGTTTAGTTGTTTTGAGAAAAGTCTTCTTTGTGGTAACGTCATATTTTGATACTTAATTCAAATGTTTATGCTTATGAAATAAAAGAAAATTAATATTTTTCACTGATCTAAAATATCCCTCTTTTTGATTTTCACTCCTATTCGATAGTGGAGGGTTTTTTGTAGAATTATCAACGGATCCTAAACATTGCAATTTCAGAAGGGAAATTTAGTTTCGTTTGAACAAGACAGTCTTCGAAAAATCTTTAATGACCAGCTGATGATTTTTCTTAAGACAATTATTTGCAAAGTCAATATTTGTTTGTTTTTCCATGTTTTGCAAAAAATTGTATTTATAATTACGTCATATTTTAAATACGAATACAAATATTTAGGCTCCTTATATGTACGAAAGCTTATGTTTGGGCTCTCATAATTTCGAAATTATTTATCAGCACTCTTTTGGATGCCCGTAGTTGTCAATGAATTAACGTTTTATTTTTTTAGCCTTTTTACATTAATTAGACAGCAGAAGACCCTTTATAGAAACTACAACCGTCTTAAGGTTAAAATTTTAGAAAGAAACTTATTTCGTTCAAAAGAACTGTTTTCAAATAATCTATAATCATTGATTGACGATTTTTCTCGAGAAACCTATCTGCAGAGACAATGTTTAGTTGTTTTGAGAAAAATCGTCTTTGTGATAACGCCATTTTTTGATACTTAATTCAAAACATATTTATGCTTATAAATTAAAAGAAAATTGATATTTGTCACTGATCTAAAATTTCCCTCTTTTTGATTTTCACTCTGATTCGATGGTAGAGGATCTTTTGTAGAAGTATCAACGGATCCTAAACATTGCAATTTCAGAAGGGAAATTTAGTTTCGTTGAACAAGGCTGTGTCCGAATAATCTTTAATAACAAGTTGACGATTTTTCTTAAGACAATTATTCGTTAAGTCAATATTTCTTTGTCTTTGCATGTTTGGCAAAAAATTGTGTTTATATTTACGTCATTTTTTAAGTATGAATCCAAATGTTTAGGCTCCTTAAGTGTACGAAACTTATGTTTGGGCTCTCAAAATTTCGAAATTATTTATCAGCACTCTTTTGCATGCCCATATTTGTCAATGAATTAACGTTTTATGTTTTTAGCCTTTTTACATTAATTAGACAGCAGAAGTCACTTTATAGAAGCTACAACCGACTTAAAGTTCAAATTTTAGAATGAAACTTATTTCGTTCAAAAGAACTATTTTGCAAATAATCTATAATAATTGAATGACGATATTTCTCGAGAAACCCATCTGCAAAGTCAATGTTTAGTTGTTTTGAGAAAAGTCTTCTTTGTGGTAACGTCATATTTTGATAGTTAATTTAAATGTTTATACTTATAAATTAAAAGAAAATTGATATTTGTCACTGATCTAAAATTTCCCTCTTTTTGATTTTTACTCTTATTCGATGGTAGAGGATCTTTTGTAGAAGTATCAACGGATCTTAAACATTGCAATTTCAGAAGGGAAATTTAGTTTCGTTTGAACAAGGCAGTCTTCGAAAAATCTTAATAACCAGCTGATGATTTTTCTTAAGACAATTATTTGCAAAGTCAATATTTGTTTGTTTTTCCATGTTTTGCAAAAAATTGTATTTATAATTACGTCATATTTTAAGTACGAATCCAAATGTTTAGGCTCCTTATATGTACGAAAGTTTATGTTTGGGCTCTCATAATTTCGAAATTATTTATCAGCACTCTTTTGGATGCCCGTGGTTGTCAATGAATTAACGTTTTATTTTTTTAGCTTTTTACATTAATTAGACAGCAGAAGACACTTTATAGAAACTACAACCGACTTAAGGTTAAAATTTTAGAAAGAAACTTATTTCGTTCAAAAGAACTATTTTCAAATAATAATCTATAATAATTGATTGACGATTTTTCTCGAGAAACCTATCTGCAGAGACAATGTTTAGTTGTTTTGAGAAAAGTCTTCTTTGTGGTAACGTCATATTTTGATACTTAATTCAAAAAATGTTTATGCTTATAAATTAAAAGAAAATTGATATTTGTCACTGATCTAAAATTTCCCTCTTTTTGATTTTCACTCTTATCCGATGGTAGAGGATCTTTTGTAGAAGTATCAACGGTTCCTAAACATTGCAATTTCAGAAGGGAAATTTAGTTTC